GCGTCAGAGCCGCGAACCCCAAGCAGGCGCTCGAGACCGGCCCCGGGTGGGCACGGCGGCCGCGGCGGGAAGCTCGCGTTCACCTGCGCCCTGGGGACGTCTGGAGACGAGGCGGCAGCGCCCTGCACCCCGCGGGGCCGCGGCCGCTCCCTTCCCGGGGGGAAGGCACATTGGAATGGCTGCTTTTGATCCCATTCGTTACCGACCCCGGCATTTGTTTTCCATTTTATAAACGCTTCCCTTTAAGTAATTGTCCCCGTTAACAGCGTATACCTTTCAGCAGCGCTCACTGCGCTATAAATAATCTCGATGAAGATGCAGGATATGACTTTCACAAGATTGGACAATTGATTCAATCTGTGACCCGCGATCGCGAATAATATTGGAAGGCTATTTAAACAGATGAAGGCCTAAATTGTCTTGCTTGTATCTGAATTAATTTCTCATTCATCATCATTATGAAGTGATTGGGCAATTCAGGGTCTTCAGCCTGCTGGAACGGAGCGGGATTTAAATGAGATTGTAACACAATTTAAATGCTTGCCGACTTTAACGAGGCCAATTGAGCAGCTGCAATAAATACAAATATTTTTCTAAACAGTCTTGTTTTAAATAATTACTTAATGCTTTCATGTTATTTTTAAGTGGCAATCTTTCTCTCCTGCCTGCAATATCGCACACTTATTTGCTGAGAAGGCGGTTTTGGAAACGACTTTGTGTTTCTGTTTGCTTTGTAGACAGTAAGGATGCGTTCCGTGGCTGGGTTTGGTTGGGCTTTGTTTTCTCTTGGGCTCCACATTTCTGAGGTCGCAAGAGCGGGCCCTAGTTTTGCGCCTTGATGCCGTCTGATGTGCCTGCCCTGGCAGCGCTGGGGAGGAGCTGAGTGATGGACGGAATTTGCCCTTGCCTCCAGGCGCTTAGCTGTGTCCTGTGAACGAATCCGTGGGATTGCTCTTACAAATGACACCCTGAAGAGTGGCGTCGTGTCTGATTTGTCCTGATGACGGCCATCATCTGGAACAAATCGGAATTTCAGCGTATCCCGAAGGTGTCCCTTAGGAAGTTCAATCTTGGAGCAGTTTGATTCTCCCGCAAGTCTACTGGAGCGGTTGGAGGCCGGCTGAGGATTTCTTTGTTATGGAATCAGAGCAGACTGGGAACCCCTCTGGGGAAGAATGATTTGGGAAGTGGGGTGCCAGGAGATGTTCAGAAGCAACCCCAGTGTTTTGCTGCCGCCTCTTCCCGCAATCCTCCTCCCGCCTCTCCCACTCTTAAGTGACAGCGACAGTGCACCGAGAGGACACGAGGAAGGCAGAGTCTGTCCAGAATCTTTGGAAGTGTCCGCGGTCACACCCGTGCTCCCCGGTGGACATATGGCAACGGGTGTTTCCTGGGCTGAGGGATAATAGAAGCAACCGAGCGGGAGAAGCCTGGGGACAAAAGAATCAAACTTTCGTGAAAGGGCTGGGTTTGGGGGTTGGGGGACACGCGACTTACTCTGGAGACTCACGTTCCTGTTTGGGGTGACTGTCTAGGGCCCTGTCCCCCTGGGAGGCCTGAGATGACGGGGTGTATTCTGAATCATTTCTCGCTCTATCTGCATTGGGGAGGACTCCATGCCTGAGCTGTGTGGTTGCAGGATTCAAGTCTAAGGACGTGGAGCTGAAACAGTTGCTAGAGAGACCCTCCATAGGGCATACCACACTGGGGGACACAATCAAACTAAAGACCAGAAGGGAAGTGGAGACAGGGATGGAAGAACCAAGTGATTGGCTGTGTAACTGGGCAATTTAATCCCAGAGTTAGGGGGGCTGCTGGCCGGAATAATTTTGTCTTCCAGGCTCTGCCGAGCTCATCCTCTTTATCCTGTTGTTTAAAATGAGCATTATCCCAAACATATGCAATGCAATCAGTTCGGTCACACTTACAAGAACACGCTTTAATAAGGCAATCAATCACAAGCTAACAAGCAGGCGACGGCCTGGCACTCGGGCTGCAGACCGACCAGTCTTGCTGGGCTGGGCAAACCCAGGCTGGCGCTGGACCATGCTCCCAAGGCCCCATTGGCCAGGCTAGGATTGAGGAGCCATGGCAAAGTATAACTCGGCAGTGAGGTGTCTGACTTTGCTGGCGATGTCCTCAGGCAATGGGCTGCAGTGTGGAGGCAGGGAGGACGGACAAAGCAGGAGCCTGGAGCTCATAGCTGCATTGGCTGCTAATAGCTGTGAGAAACTCAGACCCTCTCTTTCCCCACCTGCAAAACGGGATGAAGATGTGGCAAAGTCAAGCGGACATCCTCAGAAAGTTGGAAGCAAATCCAAGGGCGGGCCCTGGTGCCAGCCTCACGTTTCCCTTTTACAGATATGGAGAGTGAGGCTGTGGTGAGGCAGTGCCTGCTTCATAGTCCCCCCCCTTCCTCCCCCACCCCAAAGTGAAGTGCCTCAAGCCTGGGGTTGCCCTGAGAAGGCGGGCCACGCATGCCTTTTTGGGGAGGGGAGGGGCAGTGAAAAGTAGTTCCTAGCGCCAAACCGCAAACCTTGGCAAAAGGGAAATTTCATTATGAAGTAATGAGTAATTCCTCCTGGCAAGATGTATTGTTATATCTTCCACTTCAATTTGGAGGGAGAGAGGCTCAATTACCCAGAAAATACAGTCAATTAAAGGCTGCTGATTGGACACGAGGCTGGATCATCGATCTTGTACTTTCCAATATCGCTGCAGACACCTCATTTTCCCTCCCTATTAACTGAAAATACGCCTGGCATTAAGGCAACCCGCAGCCCATTTACCTGTCGCAAGCAATCTCTGCCCAACGCGGAGCAACCACAGAATTCACCAGCATTTGGCACTCTGGAGCTTCCGGCTGCCGAGGGAGCTGCTCAGATTTGAGGGCAGGGGTGCTAGAAAGGAAACCTCGACACAAGGCTTTGCCTGGGAGGGCAGGGGCCACTAGGCACAGGACTTCCCCACCTGCTGCGGGGGACCTCTAGGTGTCTGTACCAGCCAGAGCCTCCTCGCCTCTCTGCAGATACCCACCCCTCCCCTGTATCAGCGGGACTCCAGACGCAGCTGTGCTAGCTATTCCCGAGGTGGTGGCAGTTTGGGGAGTGTGTGTGTGTGTGTGTGTGTGTGACTGCTAAGCAAGGCCTGTCACCCTACCCTAATGGGCCAGAATTCCATCCTCAAAATGACTTCTAGTCTGAGGATGAACCCAGCCCTTGCCCCTCCTCGTCCCCACCAGCAGGTGCAGACCTGGTTTGACCAGCACACTCAGCCCTTCGCAGTGCCAAGTTCCATGGCCCTGCCCACTTGGGTTGGGGTGGAGGCAGAGTGCATGGCGACCACAGCCCAGTTCCCCTTTCTCCAAAGGACTGGAGCAGCTGGGCAAGGGCATCACGGGGTGAGCCCCATGGGGTTAGCAGTCTGTGGGGGACAATGGACCTTGGAGTGCTCTTAGCATGCCCAGAATTTAGACAGCATGCTCCCCAGGGCAGACTGCAGCCTACTTTGTCCACTGCCATGTAAAATCTGTTTGGAGCCTGCCAATGCCCCACAGGGCTTGGGACACTGGTCTATAGTCCGTCTTTTCATTCCTTCCCTACCCATGCCCTTGCTGGCTAACTAGCAATTCAAAATTACTCAAAGTGCTGGCTACTGCCAAAAAAAAAAAAAAATTTAATGCTAAAGTGAGAATCATGTCCAGCTTTTATTGCAATATGGTTAACAAATTGTAACAGCAAATTCTTTGGGCTTCAGAGGGAAACCCCAAAACAAAGCAACTTCATTCCCTCTAGGAAGAATGACTCCCTCTCAATCGGAGTAAAGCTTGCATTGGGGGTCAAAGTTCTCCTCGTCCTCAAAAACCGGCTACGAGAACGGTGTGGGGTGCGAGCTTGGACGTGGCTTCCAAACACCCTGGTGAGGAGCAGAGGCAAGGTGCCCAGAAGGGGCAGACACCACCACCCGCTGGTATCTGAAAGTCAAGTCCCAGTGGCAGCTTGGAGGGGACGGAGGGAAAGATGTACAATGCCCGGCGCCCAGGGAAGAACTGAAAGTGAACTAGCCAGGAATGAAAACCCGCCTCGAATCTGCCAGCAGACACCAGGGAAAGAGGTACAGTGCCCACTCCCTAAAGTCTTTCCCTGGGCGCCTTGTTAACAGCAGCTCAGCTCTGGGGCTGTGGCCAGCCGCGTGGTGAGCATTATTATACATTCAACATTCACAATCCCTCCTCACACATATCACTTGCTAATCAGGTTGTGTGCGGGGCCCAGGGAGAAGCGGCTTGGCCTCAGAGAAGCTGCTCAGGGGCCCTAGGGACTGGACAGCCTCCCTCCCTAGGCCAAGTAAAAGGCCCGGTGTGAGGAGGGGTGGGGATGGAGCTACAAGGTGAGAGGTATCGCAGAGCTGGGGGAGAAGAGGGAGATCAGGTGCTGGGAGCTGCCAGAACCAAAAACGCGGTGTGATTCAGGCTGCAGGAAGGGCCGAGAGCTCCTGGTACCCCTTGCACTCTCTCGGCTGCATGGCTGGTGCTTTGCCAAGCACAAGCCCCTCGCCGTGCCTTGAGAAAGCTGGCAAAGATTTATCTCTACCTGCTCTGCACATACAGCGTTTGGTTACAGCAATTTCCCTTCGCAGGGCTTGGGGTTGGCCTTGTCAGGCAGGGGGCCCGGATGAGAAAGGACTGGGAGGTGGTGATGTGGGCAAATGGGCTGGATATCCTATCCCGTGGCTGTTGCTGCGGAGTTTTGTTTAGCTTTGGAGCCACGGCCTCCACCCCCGAGGCCGGTCTCTCCCGCATTGCCACTCCTGCTCCCAAATGGGCCAGCCACAGCCCTTCCTTCCAGGACGCCCTGACCGTCCCTCGAGGCTGAGTCCATTGCCGCCCTCTCGGTTGCCCTCCTTGTCTTGGAGCAAGCAGGGGCGCTGGCGCTGGCTGAGTCCCCGATGACAGGGACCCCCCACGGGCGTCCTGGAGCCGGCAGCCCGCGGGCGGTCCCTTATCTGGTGAGGGGCACCTCCTCCCTCTGGTCCAGCGCGACAGAGGAGGTCTTGCTGAGCGCCGAGGGCGCGAAGGTGAGGAAAGAGTCCGAGCGAGAGGTGGAGGCACAGGTGAAGTCCGAAGCGGCGGCGGCGGCGGCGGCCCGGGACGCCAGCCCGTTGGCCGGGCCGCCGTGGCAGGCAAGGCAGGAGCAGGGGCCGCCGGCCGACGCGCCCAGTCCGTGCGCCGGGCCCGGGTAGAGCGGCGGGTGGCGGAAGGCGCACAGCAGTTCGGGCCGCGGGTAGGGCTGCGAGAGCACGCGGAACGTGTCGAGCGGGCGCAGCGGGCCGCTGAAGGGCGAGGCGGCGGCCGAGGCGGCGGACGCGGCGCCCAGGCCCACGGGCGAGTAGTAGGGCAGGGGCAGGTGCGACGGAAAGGGGTAGGGCAGGCCGCCCGCGGCCGCCGCGTGGCTCATCATGTACGTGTAGAAGGCGGGGTCGGCCGGGTGCGGCCACGTCATGGCCAGGCGCTGCCGCTTGTCTTTCATGCGCCGGTTCTGGAACCACACCTGCGGAGAGGGGAGCACCGCGTGTTCGCCGGCCGGACCAGGCCCAGGCCCAGAAGTCCTGCCCCACTCCGGAGGACGCGCCAAAGCTGATACCAGACCACACTGCTGCCGCCACCCCCTGGACCTGGAGTCCCTTCGTGGGAGGTCCAGGAAGTGACTCCAGTCCCAGTCCCTCCTTCCCTCTGCCCACGTGGCCTGGACCCCCTGTGAGCCAGAACCCAGCGTGGGGGTGGCTAACGCTGCGGGTGTGAGTCGGCAGGCAGCTTCCGCCTTAGGAAGAAACCTCCTTCTAAGCCCTCTCTTTGGGGACACTTGTCACTCGCCCAGGCACCTCCTCCCAGGGAGGGGACAGACTCAACCTCGTGGCCCCAGCGTCCGCCCAGGGACTGTCAAGGCAATGTGCTCGCACCAGGCAGATTCTGGGCCCAGACTCCTGGCGCGCAATGCAGGCAGTGGGCAGTGCGGATTTACTTCCTGCTGAATAGGTGCACACCCGCCTCCGCCGTCCGCGCCGCGAATACCTTAATGGTGGTTTCCGGCAGGTTGAGCGCGGCCGCCAGCTCGCAGCGCCGGGGCCTCGATACGTAGTTCTCCCGATAGAACTCCTTCTCTAACCGTGCGATCTGCTCCCGCGTGAAGGCGGTGCGGTAACGGCGCATCTGGTCACTGGCGCTGCAGGCCAGGGAGCCTTGCGAGCCGCCGCCGCCGCCGCCGCCGCTGCTCTTGGGGACCTCGTTGCTACTGTTGGGACTGCCGGCCAACGCCTCGGAGCCGGGTCCTGTGCAGAGAAGCCCAGAGAACACGCGTGGCGCACACACACACACACAACAGGCACACGTAGGCCAGCTCAGGTGGGGCCGTAGGCCCAAGATGGGAAGGGAACGGGCTCCCAGCCACCCGGAGGACAGGGGACACGGAGATTTGGGGGAGGCCTGCTGTTTAAGAGGCCTCTCTCGATGACAAGCTGGGTCTGGAGGCCCCCAGCTGCCCTCCACAAACACAGGCAAGGTGCAGCCTCTCAAGCTTTCTACCTACCACTGGCAGAGGTGGGTAAAGGTGTGCCCTGCAGACAGGCACGTTGTGTTGGAGCGCCGCGACTCTGAGTCTTAGGGCACTGTAGGGTGCTGGGCGCGCGTGGCGCCAGCTTGCTCCTGTGTGTGCCCGCACAAACGTGGGAGGAAGACTCCCTTGGTGGTGTGGATGACAGGGGTGGTGCATCCCAGTGAACAGAGCTTGTTTCCAGGGAAGCTTAGGACAGAGTGCGCATTGAGCGGAGTAGACGGTTTGGAGTGGGTGTAGGTACTCACAGGTGCTGGCTGCCAAGGCCAAGGGGTGGCTTGCTCTCCCTCCCAGGACCTTCTTCCCACTCCCACAGCTTCCTGGAGAAGTGTCTGCCGGTGGGCTCTCCCTCCCAGTGACCCCCCCACCCCACCCCCAGGCAGTGATTGTTGGCACAGAGGGAGACTCCCTTCCGGGCCATCTACCCCCACTCTGCTAGCCCTGGTCGGGGAGGGGCTCTGTGATCTGGGCCTACCCCCAGGGGAAGGGTGGTGCTGCGGCCCCCTGCGGCTCCTTTTCCTTTGGGTGGAGAAGTGGGACTAGGACGGGTTGGGGAAAGGGGGAGGGCCCGATCCTTGCCTTTTCAAATGCAACCGGAGACCAAAGGCAATTAGACCACTGGGACCATTTCCGACCTGGCGCCGCCGAGCCCGGGAAGTGACAAGGTAATTTGGACCTCTGACCGACGTGTAAACTGGTCCGAGGGCCGCAGCGCCAGGGCAGCCACAGTCGGCCGCGGTTTTACGGTCCTTTATGGACTCCTGGCTTCCGCGCATAGATGCGCCTTACACCCCACCAGCCCCAAACTGCCCCGACTGGCGTTTGATCTTGCCTTCCCCCCGGGGTAGGTGTTTTCTGCGTGTAGTTGAAGCATTCCCACGAAAAACAGTGGGTGGCTGGGGTGCGCCTTGAACCCCTCAAGCCAGGGCTTACATCTCCCTCCCCCAACAAGGCACGGTTGTCACCCTCAGTCCCACCAACGCCAGGACACAGTAGGAGACCCCCCGCCAGGGCACAGGGAGCCAGGGAGAGGAGCTCAGGTGGGTCCCCCAGCCATCCTGCCCAGGGGGGAAAGGGGTCCTCCTCCTGGCCCGAGCTCAAGTAAAGGGCGGGCACAGGGGAAGGCCCCCGGGTTGGGGGGGGGGAGCCGAGGGGCGCGGCGGCTACCTTTGCTGTGCTGGTACTCGGCGCTCCCGGCGGCGCAGTCTGGGGTGCAGCTCACCTCGATTTCTTCATAGAAATCCGACTCGGTGTCCGAGCTACTGGGTTGCCCCTGGCCAGAAAGGCTGTCGGCGGAGGGGGCAGGGGGACCCGGGCCGAGCATGGCCGCCCCGGCTGCCCGCGGCTCGGCGCCCTGCCCCGCCGCGCAGCCTCCTAGTCCGTCGACCGGCTCCTCCTCCGGGCCTCCCCCGCCGCGCTCCCGGGCGGCCGCAGAGCCCGCCCGCGGGCTCAGGCAACCGCGGGGCACCATCTTCTCCGGTGGCTCGGGCAGCGGGCTGCCCACGGCTTCCGACAAACTGGAGACTCTCTTGCCAACCAGAGTGCCAAGCTGACCCCCATCCAGAAACATAACCATGTCCTTGCGGCTCTCCATCCTGGGGTCCTCCGGAGGGGGGGTTGGGGGAGAAGCCCCAGCGAGCTCCTGACCCCCCGGCTCCCCGGCTCCCCAGTGGCCGGACAGAGTCAGGCTGCGAGAGGCAGAAAGAGAGGGCCCGACGACCGGGAGGGCGCGGGGCGTCCGGGGCGCGGTGTCGACGGCGACCGAGGAGGTGGCAACAGGGAGCCGGGGTCACCTTGTGATGCGAGCTCTCCTCTGTGCCGCACCGCCTCTGGGAGGAAGCCCCATTGCCCTCTTCTTTCTAAGCTGTCATCCTCCTGCTGCAATCGTCATTACAGTACCGCTGGTGACGCCACTCGGCGAGCGCAAGTGGATAAATAGAAACGTCTGCCACTGCGAAGATGAAAGGAGACCGGCGGCTAATGGCTCGGCAGTGATGCGCCAGGTGTGGGCCTCGCTCGAATGGGGAGGAGAGTGTGAAAGCAGACAGAGACACACACACTGAGAGAGGGAGACAGCGGGCACAGGGCCGCGAATGGAATTCCGCCGACGGAGACGGGGAGCGTCGGGCGCGCGGCGAGCTCGGCGGGGGCAGCGGGACTCGGGCGTCGGAGGCGCTTTGCATTTTTCTCTCTCGGTTGTTTTAACTTTTGTTTTCTTAACTTGGTGGCTTGCTTTAACTCGGATGCAGGAATCCGTAGCTGCATTCTAAAAGTGTGAAGGCCGCTTAGGGGCCTCGGTTCTCTAGGAGCTATTCCCAGCGCCTGCCCGGGGCAGCTAACCTGAGCCGGCTCCCAAGTCTTTTTTTTTTTCTTCTTTCTTTCTTTCCTTTTTTTTTTTTTTTTTTTTCACAAGCGCCCGAAACCCCAGTCTCTTCCCGCACCGCTGAGTTGTCTGAGAGCCTGGGTCTGGGGCATCCTTTTCCTCTCCTCTCCCTACCCACTCCGTCTCCTTCCTCCTGCGAACCAAACTTCCCTGTTTTCTTCTTCAGGGGGCAAGAGAGGAATACCTGGATATTTCTTCCTTAAAGACCTGGGGTTGGCTGTTGACTCAATGTGCTTGATTATGTTTTTTTTTCTTTTTTTAATCTCCCCTCCCCATCTAGGTGGCCTGGCTCTTTCCAGAACCTAGCTTGACCTCAAGGTGGTTTTGCTGGAAGAAACCGTTTCCGTTTGCTCCAGCCTCGCCGGCACTTCAGGTATGTGGGGCGGGGAGGTGTGGTGGTTTTTTTATTCTTTTTTTTTTTTTTCTTCCTTGCCCATATTTAAGGTATTCGTTGAGAGTCAACGAATTCTCCTGGAAACAGGTTTTTCCAGAAAAGGGGCTTTGGCAAATGTGGCCCCTTGCTGCTGTGGCAGCGCTGGAGGCCCCTGGTTGGGGGGTGTGTGTGTGCCAGCTTCCCCCTCCCCCCCAAGCTTGCAGTGTTAGGGACTACCAGATCCTCTCCCAGGCCCTGCCCACTGGCGGCGGTCCCTGACTCCAAAAGCGGGTGATGCCAGGGTCAGAAGAAAGGTTCCAGGAAATGCCCTGAAAGAACCAGTGACCAGAGGCGCTGAGAAGACCTTGGAGAGCGAAACCCCCATGGCAGAGGTGGAGCCGGTGGGGGCAGGGTGGTTGGTGTGTGGAGGGCGGCTGCAGGCCTCTCCCAGGTCTTCTTCTAAGGAAGGGATGGCCCCCCGGTGGGGGCAGGCTGGTGGGCTCGGTGGTCTCTTCCCCACTTTGCTGAAGGTATCCCCTCCCCCCAAGAACTCCTAGCCATAACCCCCAGCCCAGCCCAGCTGCAGAGGGCAATCTGGTCCCTCCCTCCATCCTCTGCTCCCAGGCAAAGACATTCTAAAGACCCTCTGCCTCTGCCATTTTGCCGTCTGTCTCCTACTTTTCTCTCTCTTTTTTTCTTCTGCTTTTCCCTCTCAGTCTTTGTATCCATGGGGCCATGGAAGTGGCCTCTTTCCTTTCAACGAGATGCCCGTTACCCTCACTGGGGGACAAGGGCAAGGCTTGCGGGGTCGGAGGGCGGCACCCACACTCATCTCTCCGTTGCCTGCGAGTCCCAGAGCCATCATCACCTGAGCGCTGCGAGCCCCAAATTCCGGGAAAATATTGAGAGGTCAGAGAGATGTATTTGGCCTTTGCATCCCAGAGCCTCTGGCTGCCCTGTGGAGCTGTCCAAGGATTCAGTCACACCCTGCCCTTCCCCACCAGCAGGCAGAGCCCCCGGGGTGCACTGGCTGGCTCCATGCTGTCAAACTCAAGCCGCCTGGTGCAGGGCTTAGAGCTGCCTCGGTGCCCAGTCTGGAGTTCTGGCACTGAGCCTGGGTGTTACCCACTCTCCTCTCCCTCGGCAGGGCCGCCCTGCGGCTCCCACCTCCTAGGGGCGGGGTCTTCAGAGGAACTCCAGGCTCCCCTGCCCCGCCCCCAGCTTTACATTCTATGGGAATGTTCTCTGTTTGATCCTTTTTTTCTCCCCGGGGTTTTCCCTGGAGATGAAAGGGAATGGGATTGAGAGATCAAGGCGTGCCACGGAGCCTCCTTCCTGGGTCCAGCCCTGGCGAGCTGGGTTTCCCAGGATGGCGTGGGGAGGGGGCTAAAGCCAGGACGCAGCCTCTCCGCGGGGGGCTGCCTCTTCGGGCTCCAGATCTGACTCTGCAGAGATATCACTCCTCAACCTGTGCACCCAATCCTGCTCCTGACTTCTGTCCCCAGAGCAGCCTCAGTTTCTTCCCTCTAGGTGCGTGGAGGAAAAAAAATTAACCAAGTGTCACTTCTTGGCAAAAAATATTCTTTCACCCACATCAGATGAAGAGAGGTGGCATTTCTGATAGGAGGAAGAAGAGAAGAGGAGGGCCGTGGACACCAACGCGCCTTTTGTTTGCCTTGGTGTGGTACTGTGCAGGGCGAGCGTTTCCCCAGCGTCCTCACCGCGGTGTTGCGGAGGGGAGAAGGAAGGTAAAGCCCCAGAACGAGGCAAGCCCCCCGCGACGCCAGAACGGCTGGGAGTGGGTGGCAGCGCCCCAATAGGCTCCCCTACGCCTCCCCCACCCCGCCCCCGCTGCTTCTCACCTCCCCCTCCCCGCGGGCCTGCAGCCCCTTCTCCCGCTGGGGCGCCGGGCTCTGGGCCAGCCGGCTCCTCTCGGATTGAAATTCTCTGGACTTCAAAAGCGCCGGGCCCCGCTTCCGGCCGGACTGGGCAGGGCCGGGGGTGGGTGGGAACCCCGGGGGAGGCGACGCGAAGATTAGACGCGCGGGTCGTTTAAAATGGAATCGGAAGCCGGGCTTGGGCCACCGGACTGGCTGTCTGGACGGCTTCGATTCCCAAGAAAACCCCGCTTCGCAGGGCTGGGGGCTTCGTGGGCTATCGGCCTTGGCCCCAAGCACGATAGGGCTTCCCCGCCACAAGCACCGATCCAGGCCAAGCTCTGCGTGCACAGGGACCAGGCGCTGGCGTGCCTGCTTCGGTGTCGGCTAAAATTCGACCGGGAAGAGGGTTTTTGCTTCTCTCCTTGGTGAAATGCAAGAACAAAGGGAGCTTCCTTGTAAACAATGAGCGTCGCCTGGATTTTGATCTTGGGCCCTGGGTCATCTCATCTCCCAGTCTGCGGCGTGGCTGTCGCCGTCGAGGTTTTCTGGCGACTGGGTCTCCCGCCGCGGAGGGGCGGGTCTGGCGATGGCCCCGCAGCTCACTCCCCTCTGCAAACCCAGCGCCGCTGCAGGGTGCAGCCCTGGGGACCAGAGTCCACTGAAGGCCAGGCTTCCCCTAGCGAGAGGGGAGATAACGGCTGGACATCTTGTCGCCCGCCGGGCAGTGAGCTGCAGAGTCTGCGCGAATCCGCGGGACAATTTCTCCTTCCGACGGGGAGGCTGCACCTCCTGGGACTCTGCTTCCCAAAGCGTCCCCTCTCTCTCCGCCTAGGGCTGTGGCCTGGAACATGAAGCTGAAAGCTTTCTGGCCCCGACCACCTACAGCTCCAACAAGCCCTTCCTCTACACCTGTCTGCCTGGGCTCCTAGCAGAGTCTCAGCCTTGAGCCAGGGTTGTCCTCTCCTGGCATCTTAGGTCCCCACTCCCACCACTGGCCTGTCCCATAGCTGGAGGACAGAGCAGACTCCTTGAGGGCCTCCCCAGGCTGAAGGTTTGTGCCTGCCTCACACCACCTGTCCAAGAACAGTTCTCCAACCTGGCAGGCACAGAGACTGGGTCCCCTCCCTCCCCCACACAGCAGAGATGAATGGGTTCTTCCTTCACCGTGACTGTCCTGAAATGTAATTCATTACAAAGCACGTCCACACCCATTCCTCATTTATATCCTTTAAAATGCCTTAGCAGACCTCAGCGCCTTTTCTCTCCAGTTGTGGGGTAGACAGAAGTTTGGCTCAAATGGCCAAACCATGACCCAGGCTGAGTCCTCCTCCCTGGCCCTGAGCTGCCAGCTTGCCTGAACCATTAAAAAGCCCTAACTCCCCTTAGGCAATCCTCTACCAAGCCTCAGCCCTTGTTAGGGTCTGGGGCAGGTTCTGGGGCCTCTCAGAGGGTGCCCTGCCCATCCTCCACTTGACATAGGGTTCTACGCCATCTACATGGCTAAAAGGCTCAGGGCTCACACTGCTGGATTCGTTCTCATCCTGCCACACCACCAGACATGCACACAGATAACACAGATACCCCATCGCTGTTCTAAGCGTTCCCAGCCTCCAAACACATTCTTAGAAGGGCATTTGCAATTATCCCTATTTTGCATCTGAGAACCCTGCAAATTCATGCTCACAGCAGCTCAGCTGTTAGAAAGGTGCCAGGCATTGGCTTCTGGGCTCTTCCAAAACCTCTGTTAGCGGCTTTTCTCCAGCTCACCCCCAGGTGAACTCCCAGGAGGGGATGAGGAGGAGCAAGCAAGCACTTCTCTGGACTTAAAGGAGAATAAAGAACAAATAGCTCCAGACCATTTAGGACCTTGTTCTCTTCTGGGTCGGGGATCAGAGGCTAGGTGGGGACAGTGCAGGGGAGATGTGAGAAGGCTGGGAAATGGGGTAGCAGGTGGAGTCTTCAAGATCTGAGTTCAGAAATAGCTGGAAAGGCACTGCAGCCAATTCTGGAGACCCTAGGAGGCAATGCCCAGGTCCTCTCTAACCATCTCAATCCACAGAAGCCCACAGCCCCTGTCTGAAAAGGAATAGGGTCACCCAGCCAGTTTTACCTGTCTGGTAGCCCGCTCCCCAGGAGTAGCTGGCCTTGACCTTCAGTTCCTGAGGTTCCATTACCTGCCCCCCACCTCCCATCCCCCCTTTCTGCTAAGAATATAAATGAGGAATGGGTGTAGAACCACCACCACCCACCCACCCCAGGCACCATGACCTGGTCCATTTGCTGGGGGTGGAGCTTTACCAGGGAGCTCTCCCTCCCATGGCAGCTACCTCCCTCAAGTGTCTCTCCAGGATTGATTAGCCAAAGGGACAAAACCTGAGGGTCTGTCCAGGCCTGCCCACACAGCCACCTGGCCTGAGCACGTCCTCCACACAAACCCTCCAGGCCTTGATCTCACATCTGGACAGAGTGGGGTCTGTCAAAGGCAGAGCCTGCGGAGAGCTGACCCTCACTTGTTATAAAGGGGACTTGGAGTGTGGGTCATTGTTGCCATGCCACACGGGACACACACCCAGTAATAATAAAAGAGGGCTCCTGCACACTGAAGTGCCTGCCAGGGCCCCCAGCCAAGGGATCCAGGACGCAGCTAAGCAGAATCATGAAGTTAGAATCTCTCCTGCGCAGCTTCACTGGCCCCAAATTCTCCCTTTCTGTGTGCTCTCCAGCCGGCTCTCGGTTCCTGGAGGAGGAATATGTCCTAGCCCTTTCCTCTCTCCACCAGACTGGAGCCCCCAGGGATTCCCGCTGCCACAGGGGAGAGTCGCTCCACACCCAGTCCCCTGCCCTCAGCCAGCGAGTTCAGCTGGTTGGACAGGCTCCGAGTCTCTCAGAAATAGGACAACCTTCCTGTGAGGGGTTCCGGCTGACTTTTACAGAGCCCCCTCCGATTGAGCTCCACCGTGGGGTACGGTCCCTCCCGTTGCGCAGCGGAAAACAGAGAGGTCGGGGAACTTGCCCAGGGTCACACAGCTGCGAAGTGACAGAGTCCGAATTTTAACCCAAGACGCCCACGCCTCCAGAAGTCAGATTCTCTCTTCAGCTTCGGCATAGCGTTCCCGGGACCCGGGACCACATCCCTGAACACTCAGGCGGACAACTGCTACCCCGCGGTGCTACCCCGCGGCCCAGGACGGGGAACACCCATTCCAGGTTGGTCGGGCGAGGGCTGCTCGGCCGTTCGGTTAATGCCCGGGGTAGGGCATGAGGAGAGGGTGGATAATCCGCAGGGCGCCGCGACCTGGAAGGACTGCGCGCTCCAGGCCCGCAAGTCTGGCAGCAAAGGGCAGGGCGCGCGCGTATCCCCAGCTTTGGGTTTCAGAGGATGGGTGCGGGCTCCTGGGGGCTTGCTGCGGCCAAGGGGGCCATCAGCTCAGGAGATGGGGCGCCGCCGGCCCGGGACAGGGCTCCGCGCATACGAGGGGCCGGGCCGAGTGGCTCACTCCCTTCTGCTCCCACCCCAACCAAGGGAACGCACCAGGTGCAGCCAGGGGCCCCCTGAAAGACCCTTCCCCGCCTGGCAGCAGGTGAACCGCCCCGTCCTGTCCCCGCGGCCCCTTCTTGCGTCCTCCGCCCCAATTGCCGCGGTGACACAGCGCGGCTCCCGAACTGCTGTCTTGGTGCGCCCCCCACTGCCGAGCGCCAGAGGCGGAAGTCGCAGCGCGTCGCAGCATCCTGGCTGGCCCGGGGCCCGCCACTGTGCCGGAGGCAGCGGGGTCCTACCGCGCCCTGCAAGCTGGACCCCAGGAGGTGCAGGCCGGGATTTGCGGCTCCGTCGTCCCGGCTGCACAGAACCCGCAATGGGGACGACAGGGATCTAGCCTGTCGCTGGCGACGCTACCCGCCCTCTTCCTCTGTGGTCCAGGAAGGCCAGGAATTGGGGAGCCCCTGGGCCTGCTGGCTGCATGGTGCTTGGGCTGAGCTTTCTCGGGCTTCCCTTGCTTTTGAGGCCCATGTACCAAGAAGACAGTCTCACCACCATCCTATAGTTCTGACTTGGGGTCCCCAGACCCCCTGAGAACTCCCTAGGAATACGGATGTCCGTGCAGACCCGTTGAAGCAGAAAGCCGGGGAAGTGGACCCAGCAATGTCTGAACAAGTCCTTGCAGAGGCTCTGCTCCCTAAGTTCCTGGGTTCTCCACTCTGCCTGCTTTTTAGACGTGCATGGGGTTAAAGAGCAGTGTCTAGAGCACAGCTTCATGCATCTGTTGCCAGAACTTTCCACAAAACCCTGCTGTTTGCACTGTATCACCTCCAGGTATCTCCTCGCGCACTAACTTATGACCTAATGAGGTCATTATCTACCTGAGTGCTTGCTCTTCCTCTCATTCATGCCTGGGCACAGGAGAATCCTACCGCAGCCGCTGAAGCATGCTGGAAAACCTGTCAGACTCAGAGATTTCTCTTACACAAAAAAGCCCTGGGATGTGATTGGCTTATGTGCGCCAGTGTGGGGAAGAAGAGCAAATCTTGCGTATTTGGGTACTGTGTCTGAAGACTCCTCTCCCATTGTGCTGGGGAGCAGAACAGTGGAAAGAGGGCCAAGCGGGTCACGAAGCAGCAAAAGGTAAAGCACAGAAATAGTGTGCGGTTTTTCAATCTTTTTCTTTTTTAAAGATTTATTTATTTATTTGAAAGGCAGAGTTACAGAGGGTGGAGAGAGAGAGAGATCTTCCATCTGCTGGTTCACTCCCCAAATGGCCACAGAAAGGCTGGGGCTGGGCCATTCTGAAGCCAGGAGCCAGGAGCTTCTTCTGGGTCTCCATGTGGGTGCAGGGACCCATGTCCTTCGCCATCCTCCACTGTTTTCCCAGGCCACCAGCAGAAAGCTAGATCAGAAGTGGAGCAACTAGGACTCGAGCTGGTATCCATATGGGATGCTGGCATTGCAGATGATGGCTTAACCAATTATACCGCAATGCTGGCCCCATAGTCTGGTTGTTTTGTTAAGGCTTACCAATTTGTTTATTTTGAAAGGCAGAGTGAAAGAGAGAAAATCTTCCATCTGCTGGTTCACTCCCCAAATGCTGCAAGCAAAAGCCAGGTCTGGGCTAGGCCAAAAACCAGGAGCCAGGAACTCCATCTGTCTCCCACATGGATGGCAGGGGCCCATCTGCTGCTGCCTTTCCTGCACATTAGCAGGAAGCTGGCTCAGAAGCAGAGCAGCCAAAACTCCCACCAGCGCTAGGGGATGCTGGTGTCACAAGCATCAGTGTAACCAACTGCAACACAACAAGAGCCCCAGAAACAGGTTTCCTAGGGGCCCCTAAAGACTGTGGGCAAAGACCCAGGAGGTTCTCCTAGTGCCTCCTTCTGGCAGGATCCTAGGTTTGAGTTACAGGATTTTTTTCTTTTTTTTTTTAAGTTTTTTTTTAATTGTTATTATTTTAAAGCTAGAGCAACACAGAGAGATTTTTTTCCATCTGTTGGTTCACTCCCCCAAAAGCCCAGAACAGCTGGGGCTTTGCTAGGATGAAGCCAGGAGCCAGGAATTCCATCCACATCTCCCGTGTGGATGGCAGGGACCGAAGAACTTGAGTCTTAATCTCATGTCTCCCAGGGTGTGCATTAGCAGGAAGTTGGCTTAGAAATGGAGGTAGGACTGGACCCCAGGCACTCTATTCATTTATTTATTTATTTAACAGGTAGAGTTATAGACTGTGAGACAGAGAGAAAGGTCTTCTTCCGTTGGTTCACTCCCCAAATGGCTGCCATGGCCAGCGCTGCACCGATCCGAATCCAGTAGTCAGGCACTTCTCCCTGGTCTCCTACACGGGTGCAGGGGTCCCAGCACTTGGCCATCCTCCACTGCCTTCCTGGGCCACAGCAAAGAGCTGGACTGGAAGAGGAGCAACCGGGACTAGAACCCAGCACCCATATGGGATGCCGGCGCCACAGATGGAGGATTAACCAAGTGAACCATGGCACCAGCCCCTCCAGGCACTCTTGTGTGGGGTCCTGGCATCACAAGCCATGGCTTAACCCACTGCACCACAACATCTGCTTCAAAAAGACTTTTCTTTGGGGACAGCTCAAGATGGTCATTTGGCATTTGCTATGACTGTTTAAAAGCAAATAGATTTATGGAGCAGGCATTGTGGTGTAGCAGGTTAAGTTGCTGTTTGCAAAGCTCACATTCCCATATTGGAGTGATGGTTTGAGTCCCAACTCTTTTGTTTTCAATACAGCTTCTTGCTAAGGCACTTGGGAAGGGAGAAAAGATTATAAATTAGGCAGCATGGGGCCATGTTGCCCCCAGGATTACCCAGGAGTAATATCCAGTACCCAAGAATAAAGATAACTATAGATGTCTTCCATAGTTATATCTTTATAGTTAGAGTTAACAGTGCTGAATGCTTTGCATATATTATGTCACTCCTCAAAATTCCAGGAGGGAAGTAGCAATAGCTGTCATAACCATCACATTCTACAGACAGAGATGTTAAGTCAAAAAAGGGTTAAATGCTTGATCAAGATTTTGGAGGAGGGCAAGACTCGCATCATGGCCTTGTGGGTGAAGCCACAGCTTAGGATGCTGCATCCTCTATCAGAGCACTGGTTCAAGTCCCAGAACCTCTGCTTCTGATCTGGCTCCCTGCTAATGCACCCGGGAGGCAACAGATGATGGGCCCATGCCACCCATGTGGGAGACCGGGATGGAGTTCCTGGCTTCTGGCTTCACCCTGACCCAGTCATGGCTGTTGTGGGTAGTGAACCAGTGAACAAACGAACTCTCACTCTGTATTTCATCGCTCTTCCTTTCTAATAAATAAACATAAAAAAGAGGACAGTTATTTGAAAAGAAAAGTCACACAGCCTATAGTGGCAGAAGTGAGACTCGAATTCCAGCTGTGACACCAGGGGCCAGGCTCCTACTCACTGGGCTCAGTCTCTGCCCATGGAAGCCAAGCTCTCAAAGACTGATATCATTTCCAAAGGCAGCTGTTTGTCCCACTTGATACAGAAGTCTTACAAAATAGAACAGATGAGGCCAGCGCTGTGGCAAGGCGGCTTAAGCTGGTGCCTGCAGTGCCAGCATCCCATATGGGAACTGGTTTAAGTTCTGGCTGTTCCACTTCTGATCCCAGCTCTCTGCTATGGCCTTGGAAAGCAGTAGAAGATGGCCCAAGTCCTTGGGGCCCTGCACCCACATGGGAGACCCAGAAGAAGCTCCTGGCTCCTGGCTTCAGATTGGTGCAGCTCTGGCCATTGCAGCCATCTGGGGAGTGAACCAGTGGATGGAAGACACTCTCTCTCTCAGTGTGTGTGTGTGTGTGTGTGTGTGTGTGTGCATGTGTGTGTGTGTGTAGCTCTGACTTTCAAATAAATAAATAAATCTTAAAAAAGAGCAGCTATTAATATCATCCCCATTTTTCAGATGAAGAAACTGAGTACCAGAGATATTAAGTGCTGAGCAGTTAAGATTACTCAGCTGACAAAACTTTGTGTTTTTCTTTCATTCTCATTTGAGATGCATAATCACATATCATCACAGTAATCCTTACATTCACCTATTAGTTAGGCTGCCCAGGAGGACTTGCCTGCCTGGTGTTTGGTTTGTTCCCCCATTCCCCTAGGTCCCTAATGGAAGCTGTTCCTTCTGGCTTCCAGTTAAAGAAGTCAAGACTCAAGAGTTCAGAGGACATACCAAGGTCACCGAGCCATGGCAAGGGTCAAAGCCTCAGACACTTCATGGGGCAGAAGGATGGATTTTTGTAGAGAATTCTTCAGAATGAACCCATTACTCTTAAAGTCAGCAATACTGACATACACACAAAGGAAAGGCAAACGCTGGTAAAATCCTATCAACAATCTACAATTCTACAAGACAGTGTCCTGTTAATGCCAGTTTGCGTTATAGTGGACTTATCCTAGTAGCTTTATTATTTGCAATATTTCAACTTTGGGATGTTTTCCTGAATATTCCAGAGTCAACATTACTGTTCTAGGAAAGAACTAGAACAGGAAAGAAAGGTCAGTTTCAAAAATTGGCATGGAGAGAGCCGTGCTGTGGCACAGCAGGTTAAGCCTCTACCTGCAGCACTGGCATTCCATATGAGTGCCCATTCGAGTCCAGGTTGCTCCACTTCCCATCCAGCTCCCTGCTGATGTGCCTGGGAAAGCAGGCCCAAGTGCTTGAGTCCCTGCACTCCCATGGGAGACCAGGAGTTTCTCACCCCACCCTGTAACTCTGCCTTTCCAATAAATAAATAAAATCTTTTTAAAGATGGCATGGAGAGGCAAGTGGTTGGTGTAGCAGTTATAATGCCATTTGGAATACCTGCAACCCATATCAGAGTGCCTGGGCTCAAGTTCTAGCTCTGCTCCCAGTTCTATGTTCCTGCTAATGTGTGCACCCTGGCAGGCAGCAGGTGAACACTCAAGGGGGTCCCTGCCACCCAGTAGGAGACCTCAACTGAGTTCTGGGCTCTTGGCTGTGGCCTGGCCCAGCTCTAGCTGTTGTGGGCATTTAGGGCATAAACCAGTAGGTACTCTCTTTCTATGTCTCTCTGCCTGTCAGATACATAAGTAAAATTATTATCGGAAAGGATCAAAGAAACTCAGATCAGGATTTGACTCTGTCCTGTTCTTAGGAAGGGGCCGGGGCACTTTTACAAGTGACAACAGTGAGGTCATGATTGCAATCCTAGACAGAGCCCCCCAGAAATGGATGAGCCAAGGGAACTCCACAAGTCGCCCTATTTTCTTCCTTTTCTTATAACTTCATCACAACCCTCGTCTTATTCTAGTATGGGCAATGGAAAAACAAAAGGCCACATGCTCTGGTTGTAAGCTGGGATGCTGATTTGCCCCTAAGTCTCACAACTGTCAAGGGGAGGTATGGGTCTTCCCAGTTGATATGTGGGGACCCCGAGGTCACATAGATAGCAAAGGAGAGCACCCTGGGGTTCCATACTTGTAAACAGCAAACGTCACTTCCCATGACCATGAACCCACTTTCTCTAGGGATTGTGAGCTCTTCCCATCCAGCAGAAGAACAAGCAGCTGCTCAGAGGTGCAGTGGGGCCCTGATCTTGAGTCCGAGAGAGAGACAAATCTCAGGGACCCATGGGAAGCTGCAAGCTGGTCTGGAACTCCTACAAGAACAGAGTCAGTGGTGGGGCAGTGCTCTCAAAGTGGCTCAGCAGAGCCGGCACTGTGGCGCACTGGGTAAAGCCACCGCCTGCAATGCTGGCATCCCATATGGGCACCGGTTTGAGACTCTGCCACTCCACTTCTGATCCGGCTTTCTGCTATGGCCTGGGAAAGCAGTAGAAGATGGTCCAAGTCCTTGGGCCCCTGCACCTGCGTGGGAGACCGGGAAGAAGCTCCTGGCTCCTGGCTTCGGATCAGCACAGTTCCAGCTGCTGCAGCCAATTGGGGAGTGAACCAGTGGATGGAAGACCCCTCTCTATCTCTCCTCCTCTCTTTGTGTAACTCTTTCAAATAAATAAGAAAAAAAAAAAAAGAAAGAAAAACCAGAAAAGCAAAGCAGAAAAGCAAAGCAATAACCGCCACCCAAAAAAAAGGGACTCAACCAGATTTCTTTCTTTTTCTTTTTTTTAATATTTGTTTATTTGTATGAAAGGCAGAGTTACAGAGAGAGAAGGGGAGAAAGAAAGAGAAACTTCCATCTCTGGTTCACTCCCTAAATGGCTACACGGCTGGGGCTGGGCCTGGCTGAAGCCAGGAGCCTGGAACTCCAGGAGGGTCTCCCACGTGGGTGCAGGGGCCCAAGCACTTGGGCCATCTTCCACTGCTTTCCCAGGTGCTCTATCAGGGAGCTGGATCAGAAGTGGAGCAGCTGGGAATTGAACTGGCGCCCATATGTCGACCTGCTGCGTCACAACGCTGGCCCCATCAGCAAAGATTTCTGGTACCTTGAAGAGAGTTTGTGACATGGCAGGATCATGTTCTTGAGAGCCAGACAGAACTGAACTTGAACTCCCAGCTCTGGTATTTTTTTTTTCAGCTCTGGTATTTAACCAGCTAGGTAGCCTTGGGCAGCCCCAAATGACAAGCTGCAGCTGTCAGGGATTCATATGAGGCCTGTCTCTCAGAGCTGTACTGCAAATTTAATGGAGGCGGGGTGGAAAGGACCCAGCGCAGTGTCTGGCCGACAGTGGGCACTCTATCCAGGCAAGTTCCTGCTCGTCCTCACCTCCCACCTTGGCAATGCCCCTGCTTCACTCTCCTTGGGGAGTCTCCTTTCTCAACAGTGCATGCGTGGTGAGTGATGTGGAGAGAGGGCTCCTGGTGCTTGGGAAAGCGCCTCATACATTTCTGGCCCCTCTGCCTGCGTGGCGGCTAACACGTACCCAGCAGCCGTAGCCGCAGAGCACACTGGGCTGCATCCACACCTTTGTTGAAGCTCAACAAATGTGGAGATGGTAAATGTGAAACGCAAATAAAGAATTATCTGGCTGCCGACTTTTGCAGGGCTGTTATCAATGGCATCCAGAAACCTGTGTCCTTCGGGCAAAGGCCATTCGTAAGGATCTGAACTGGTGAGAAGAATATCAAGACACGCCCAGCATAACAGAATGTTCTCTTTCTGGGAGACTAAAGGCCTGCACAGATGAAAACAATAAGGTGCAATTGTTGCCCTCTTGACAACACTCCAGGGCAACTTAGAATAATAGTGACGCGCCCAGCCTCAAGTGAACTACTTACTTGTGTTCTAATTTCAGTCCTGCCCATCTCCATACTCACTATGTGATTTTAGGCAAGTTACTTCTCCAAGTTTGTTTCCTCATCTGTAAAATGAGGTCATATAAGGATACAATGAGTTAGCTCATATAGAGCACTTAGAAGAATAACACACATGAAGCCTCGGTAAATTTCTATCTGTATTTACTATGGTGCGTTACCTCCTTGAATGTCTGCCTGCGGGAATTCTGCAAGCTCATGAAATAAAAGGGGGGAGGGGTGAACAAAGCAAGAACCCCACGACCAGGGCAAATACGCCAGTGGGCAGTGACTTACATTCAGAACCAAACAGACTGCATTTCCGCGCCTCTGCCACTGGTAGACTTGGCCAAGTCATTTAACCTCAGGAGCATCAACTTCCTCCCGTGCAAAATGGGAACAAATAAGAGCTGTCCCGCCTTTTTCATTTGGTAATTGGCCCAAATAGAGCCCTATTGCCTGCCATTTTAGCTTTTAATCTTTGGACTTGGGAAGGTTCGCTCCGCTTGTAAAGGAGCTTGCCCTTCAGGGAGGAGCCACCTTTCTCACCATTCCCTGCTCAGACCTTAGTAATCTATTAACACTTCATCAGTGTTACTGCAACAGAGAGAAGACAGGCTGCGGCACAGGTGCAGACCGGATGCAGGAAGAAGGCAAGCAAGAGACAGGTGCACCGCCAAGACCTCACCCTCCTCCACATGGAGCATCCCGCCCAGGGCCTTGTAGTACTGCCAGCAGCGTGAAGCCATGGGCATTGTAAACTGCCAGCTGAGAACTATTCCTTTTGGATAAAGTCAGTGGTCAGAGAGTTTCTTTGGTATCTGTGGAAGGTGACTGTGTTCTTAAGAAATCAGAGAGTTGCATTGGGCATTGTTTCCTTTTTTTGACATTGTCCTAAGTTTATTGAAAATATCATAGAATAGCAGAAATATTCAAATGACTCCACATGGTGTTTTGAAATTGGTCCCAGGGGCTGGCACTGTGGCATAGTAGGTTAAGCCTCTGCCTGCAGTGCCGGCATCCCATATGGGCGCTGGTTCGTGTCCTGGCTATTCCTCTTCCAATCTAGCTTTCTTCTGATGGCCTGGGAAAGCAGTGGAAGATGTCCCAAGTGCTTGGGCCCCTGCATCCACATGGGAGACCCAGAAGAAGATCCTGGTTCCTGGCTTCAGATCTGCGCAGCTCCAGACATTGTAGCCACTTGGGGAGCAAAGCAGAGGATGGAAGAAGACCTTTCTCTCTGTCTCTCCCTTTCAAATAAATAAATCTTAAAAAAAAAAAAGTGATCCCAGCTTGGGCTGAGTGACCTGCAGGTCGGACAGATGGCCAAAGTCCAGAAGCTTGAGCATTTCCTTAGTGTGCAGATCCACTTCAGGGATCTCCTGATCTAGGGCTGAGACCCCAGCAGCGTAAGTCTGTCTCTTTTCTCTCTCCTCCACCTGCAAGGCAGTGGCGATGCCGCTCATGGGGCCTCTCTGTGGCTGTCACGTGTGTGACACAAGCTGCTCTCTCGCTGAGGATCATGGCGATCTCCTTGCACATTGGCTTGCTGGTGTGGAAGCTGTCGCCCAGGCGGATGTCATACTACTCAGTGATGACCTGGGCGGCTTTCCTCGTGGTTTGATGCTATCGCAACCCATGAGTCCTGAGAAGCATC